AAAGCAAGCCCACCTGGGAGAAGAGATAACAGGAGTTAATCATGTGCAAACTGCTTTGAGGAAAAAAGTGCACAATCCAGTTTAAAGCCTCATTTTAAAATATTCCTGTGCACTAATTTTCTGCTTCATTTTATTGACATAATTGATGCTATACTTCAACACATCTTGGAAATACACTGCAGTGAGCGTATTTCCTTCTGGTACTTGTTGTTTTCAAATACATAACAAAGAAACTATAGTTTATTACAGTGTATTTTTCATATGAAAGTTGACTCACATGTTTTTGGTGGGGTTTTTTTGTGCTATGTTTCCTCGCTGCAAGCAAATACTGAATTCTAAAATTAAGTCAGTATTGTAGTGTCTATGGCATATTATGACACTGGTAAGCTTGGCATTCCAGTGGTATTTGAGAGTGTCCAGAAGAAACATTTTTTCAGAGGGACACTTAGCACAGATGGCCAAAGGTATCTGTAGAAGTTACAACCACGCAAATTTTTCTGAAATATGTACAGGAGTACGTAGAGGAAAATAAATGTTGCTGGGTACAAACACCAGGAATTTCTATAGTGTCCTCCTTTCCAGAAAAGACAGTATAAAAATAAAAGAAAAATGGAGGCTTTTGACTCTCCACTAAAGTACAATTGTTATTGTAATTTCTGAGCAAATTTCCTCCTTGTAAAGAACCTGTACACAGCATGTACACTTGCTAACTTCTATGACAGGTCTTCGGAACAAAATTAAACCTTTTTTTTAAGGGCAGCATAAATGTTGTACTGGGTTTATGTTGGGACTCGGGGTGCATGTCACTTAGAGCTATTTCCAATTCCAGAGTTTTACAAATTAATTATTATTTACCTTGGTGTTGTGGGTGCTGTAATAAATAACAAGAGACTTGATGAAGATGCCAGACAATGAAATTTTTGAGTCTGCAGTTAAAGCGCCAGAGTTCCTAAACTAGAGAACAAATGTGACTCTAACAGTAACTGTAGCAGATTTTGGAAAAATTCTGTTATTTATATTAAACCTCCTCTATTTCAAGTTTTGTAACAAGCTCAGCTGTCCATAAAATGGAGACTAATACTCTGCTAGAGGGTAGGGTACCGTGCCCCTGTTCCAATGACAAATACTGTAGATAAGTCACGGTTCAGTTTTCCTGCAGGTAGATAATCCAAATATCATGCCTTTTCCAGTGCAAAATGCAAGAAAGAAACAGTGTTAAAGAAACCTTGTTTCCTGTCAGAAATTGCCAGAAATTTCTCAGTTGGAAGTCCTGCATAACACCAAGGAAATAGCTGAACAGACACCTGATTTACATTAGTATAAATGGGTGCAGAATGGCTGTCATAGATGGTTTTGTCTTTTCCCTCCTCCTTTCCCTGTGTTGCATATTATTCTTCAAGAATATAGCAGAAATTATTAAAGGTGATTCATCAAATTCCTTTAGATTCAGGTTTAAAGACAGTCTAACAAAATGGCACTACAAACTCCCCCCTTATTAGTGCTGTACATGCCTTTCCTGAAAGGCTGCTTCAAAGCGACACAGTTCTTTACAAAAAAGAGAGCCTGAAAATGTTTAAATTGAGTTTGCAATTGATTTGTTTTTATCTCTCAGAGTCTCACATCTGGTTAATGCAGCCCTCAGTTCAGCTTGTAATGGACTTGCAACAGTTCTGGACCCTGTGAACCTTAAATCTGAAGGTAAACCTCCTGTCACCAGGCTCCTGTGGATTCTCTCTCTGACTATTTGTGCCCTTAATGTTGTCTGTTGCTATTCATAGTCTTTTTTATTTTACTTTCTTTTCAGTCACGTGATGCAATGATCTAAGTTCAGTACAGAAGAGTCGGTTGGGCTGCCAAAGCCAAAAGACAACCTACAGCAATTCTGAGTCGTGGAAGAGACATAGCAACCTTTGGGATTATTGCTTAGCAACTGCAAACACACAGAGGAGTAAAACTCACAGCCCGGCTCCACAGCAGGTCTGAGAAATCCCTAATTCACTTTAAGATTTTTAATGGTTGAGAACAGATGGGCATATATTAAATTCCTGTTCATTTGCAAAGCCACTTTGAAAGCAGGAGGAGTAAGATCTATTTTGATACCTGCTCCAAAGGTAAGAAAAACAGTTCTTCAAAGCTTCAGAAAGCAAAAGAGAAAGTCTTTTTAAATTTTAATTGTATTGAAAAGAAGATCATGTATGAAAAGGGTATTGGGCTCTTTGTGATTGGTGAGATAAACATGCTCTGTGAAGCACATTAGGGAAAGGCAAAACTATTTCTGAACGATAGAACGTCAAAAGAGGTTGAACTCTGGTTTTGAAAAGACTTTTCTGACTCAAACATCTCCAAAATATTTACCTAGACAAACTTTAGTCTTTCCTGGCCCTGGCCCACCCATCAAAATCACCTAACAGAATAACAATGAAACCATTAAAATCTTATTTATGAGCAGATTTGGGTTTTATACAGAAAACGGGGAGATAATCTTTTTGTACCTGCAGGGATTCCAGCAAGAATATTTCTCCCACAGAAAAGGAGCCAGGAAAGTGGCATCCTACTAAATAATGAAAAGCTTAGCTTGCCTTCAGCTTGAACAAAGGCTTACAGGAAACTTTATATCACATTTCAAATTTTGCAGGTGTTTCTAAAGCTTGTCTCTGTGCACCATGCTTACTATTATTTGGACAATCAAGCCTCCACTTGGGAATGTCATAGGCCATGAGAGCTCTATATATTGTGGACCAAATTCTCAACTAATGTACATCAGCACTGAAGTTTATGAGCCAATGGTGTCTTATACAAACTGGAGGTGCATCCCGTAATCCTCAACGGATTCTGAGTTTCAGGGCCTGATTCTAGCACTCCTTTGTTGTTTATTTTAACAGTTATGTGCTGTTTGTATGTTCTTCCATACCTTCTTAGACTTCTTTATCTGTCCTACATAAAAGCAGTGGGCATAGTTCTCTATGCTCTGCTTCCATTCTTGGAGTTAGGCGAATGCCACGGAATTGAGATAGAACAGTCGCACTTAGTTGGTTTTTGTTTTGTTTTGCTTTGTTCAGAGACATAGAGATACCTTATAAACATTTATTAATTCTCAAAATCATCCTAACAAATGGTTGACAGCAGTGTAGAAAATATATTCATCATCATCCAGAATCAGCTACCTCATAAAGCAGAGTGCAGTTGTCACTTTAACATTGCACAGAAACTGCAGAGCTGTTTCATAAAAGATGTTAAAAAATAACAGAAGTATTTGAAACAGTTTATTTTGGCACAACAAAACCAGCTGATTTGGAATGTGACCAGAACATTTGTTTAACACCCTGCTTTGAACCAGAAAGAGTCTGGTTTTACAGCTTATTGAAAGAAACTCACCTAAGCAAGGAACAATTTGACAGGGTTGACAGGTTTCTCTTTCTACCATTATAAATCTGGACTCCTTTACAGCTCATGTCCTTCAGTGGCAAAACAGCTACCATCTTAAAACCCTCTCTGTGGGTCAGCCAGGCAGCTTGATCCATAAATCCATCTCCCTCCCCATCAGGTAGCCATCTTTGAAAACAAATTACCAGAAGATGCCAACAAGCCCATCAGGAAAAGAGACATAGAAATTTAGTGCTGTGAAGCATCCTACTATCCAAGCAGTACTGGACTCAAACAATGGTTATGAACCAGAAGGTCAACATATTAGTAATTACATTTGTGTGCCAGGAGGGCTGTAGATCACATTTATGCATCTCCTGGAAGGCTCTCTTCAGAACAGCTACAAATGCTTAAACACGAAGAGCAAAACATATCAAAAGCAACAGCATTGCTATGGATACTGAAAGGCCTTAGTGAAAAGCACTTTTAAATAAGAGCTTGACAAGGACAGTGTGGCAGCAAGTTCAGGGTGGAGTTCCATCTTTAATTTGGAAAGGCGTTAGGCTCTCCCTATTAATAATCACCCTTCCCTTGCTGTTGTTTAACACTGAGCTGGGTTTTTTTGCAGCACGCTGGTGATTTTTCATGCTTTGAATCAAGTTGTTAGGCAACATTCTGCTCCATTCTGTATGTCTAAGTCCCATTACAGATGCAGACAGTTATGTGGGGAGACATGTAGCAATAGTTTTCAAATTGTGCCTTGTGAGCAACTCAGTTTCTTCCTGATATTTCACAGAATGTATGTTTTGAGAAGAAAACAGTGGAGTTTGGGAAATTGTAAAGGGAGGTATCTGCAACTCTCTGTAGGTCTGTCTTTTACAGAATAAACTACAAGATTAAGTGCTTGTGAACAGCTTAATTACAGAGTTCATGGTATAGAGTTTCCCTTTCTGTAGGAGCTCTGCTGACCTATACACCTGTGTCCTTGTTACCTTAACAAAATGTCCGGAGGACAAAATAGTTGCCAAAGTTGAAATGAAGTAGTCTATGGGAGAAGCTTCCTCACTGTTTTTCACAGCTACAGAAAAGATGAAGCAGAAGGCGGCACGTAGAGAAATCTTGCTCCTAGGCATCTGGTATTTTCCATTACTTGCTTCCTTTGTCTCATATCCACTGGATTTCCTGGGGGCATGGAATGGGGCCTAAACAGAAATAACGATACTAGGGTAAGAGGAATCCACTGGTTAGAACTGGGGGACAAGGCTTCCAAGCACTGTTCACTGCTTGGTTTCTGAGTCTCTAAGTGACCTGGAATTAATCACTTCTTTTCTGTGTCTCAGTTTCTTCTCCCGTAAGAAAGGAACACACTTATTTAGTTGCTCTGTCTCCAAGGGCTGTTGTGATACATAATTAATCTTTATAAATCATTTACTGGTCTTTGAAGTAAAAGGGCTGTATTTATTTAAGAGTACAAAGCAGCAGTAACAGAATAAAAAAAGGAACATAGAAAAAGAATATTAGTTAATTCCTAACTAATCCTAACAGGATTTTCTTCCTGTGTCATCTGCTAGGACACTGCTGCATCTTTTGGCATTATATAACATGCTGCTTTTGTTCTGTGTCACAGTGATTGAAGTATGGCTGCTCAGCCAGAAGCAGCAGCCCAAACTGCAGGTCTAAAACCTCCTGAACTTGGAGGTAAGAATATGACTGCCACAGAAATGAAGAGAAATCAGGGGAATGATGAGCTGCCATGTTAAAGAGTGTTTTTATGAAAAGGTACAGCAGAGGTGTCTGAGTCTGCAGGAGACAAAGGTGAAGATGATTCGTGCACAAAAGGCAAAAGAAGAAAAGGTGAAGAAGAGAGAACCCTGTGACTGGATGTCCAAAGAGTGGTTCAGTGAAGAGAAAGAGTCACTAGATACTCACATCTATTTGCTTGACAAACTCCTACCTACGTTAATCCCAGGAATGGAAAAACTCTTAATGGAAGTGGAAAGAAAGAATGTGCTTGCACCGGACAAAGAACCAAGAAAATTTAACCCCATTATTTTTCTTGGAGAATATCTGATGAGACATAACCCTCAGTATAGTATTTCTACAAAACCAGGCCTGTACCTGAGAGGAATGAAGATGGTCACAGAGGAGCTAAAAACTCAGATGCCCGGTACAACATCAGAGAGGTGAGAGTTGAAAGTGTGGCTGGTCACAAGACCAGAGCTGGTGTCTTGATTTCTGTTTTACAAAAGGAATGATGTGACTGCAGCCTGGCTGGCAAAGTGTCGAACAAAATGAACCTTGTGGAGTACAGTGCCAGAGATGGTAGTTGTCTTTCATAAAAACTTGAGAATGCCAGAACATGTCACTCAAAATGAAACACTAGCTATTCCTGTTTCAGGCACTATTCTGCCCTTCACAAGTATATAATTCCTCTTTAGACTCTATCTTAATTACATATGTGGAATGCAAACTACTTTCAAACTGGTCTAGGTTAGTGACAGTTCTTTAGGACAGGTGTTAATATCAAAGGTCTATGGACTCTTCAGATCATTTCTTCTGTATTCTTCCAAACTTAATAAAAAGATACCCTTTTTTCCTCCTTCAGGATGATTTCTCTTGACCAAACTGACAACAATATTGTCCTGGCACATTGTAGAAACTCCTTCTCCTGGGATTTTTACTTAGGCTTTCCTTTCAGATTCTATTTTCCCTTTAGAGTAGAAACTGTCTTGTATTTTATTATGTTGCTTATTTCTGGGGTGTATTCTAGACTGCTTGCTGTAGTATAATATTTAATAAGTATTGGAAGGGGGTTCCACAGCATATTACAATATGCTAAGGTTAGAATGTGAGTGCATTAGGTGAACAATAATGCTTTCATTTTCATCACTCTATTCAGAAAAACACAGAAGTGAACATTTGTGTTTATAGATGACCCAGAGGTGATTGTGAATGATGTCAAAATTACTCATTCACTACTAGATCACTTTATTCTATATCTGTGTTTGTCGAATAATGACTTCTGTTTGAATGGCTGTCTCTTCTATTTGCATAAATAGTACATACAGCTTGAAAATTGGTTTCAGGGTTTCAGTGTCAGGCATTAGGGAAGTAAAATGTTGACATGTCTTATGCATAAACTCTAAGTGAAGATAATTGAAGTTCCCAGTATTATAATGAATAAAAGAGTATGTCAAATCTCTCTCTACTGCTCTGAGTTTCTCTCTCTACATTTCTAGTCCACATACTGTTACAGTTCATAGGAACATGCCTTGTGTGAATACAACTAAAGCAGTGTGGTAAGTGAATTTCACACAGTCACTTATCTCCCTTTTTCCCCCTGATAAAAATAATTTTAACTGACTGATCATGGTCACTGTGTGAGAGCTCAGCTTTTTGTTTTTTCTTCATAAGCAGACGTACAGTAGTACAACCAGAGCTGGTAAAAGATTTTCAATTTTATTTTTACTTTTTAAATGCCAGTCCACTGAAACAAATGATGTGGGGAACCATCTTCTTTTTCAGTGAGCTTTCATTCAAGCACATGTTCTGGGGGGATGTTTAGGATGCCAGTCTTACCACACCTTTGTTTTGGGGACTATTTCACCATCCATGTTGCTTCACAGAGGGACACCTGGATGCAGGAAGTTCAAAAGCATACCTCATTTTTATTTTGCTAAAGAAAGTGAATTAAAATACACAAAAATTCCTGGGGGTTTGGGTTGGTCCTTTTGTTTGGTTTTGGGTTTGGGGGGGAGGGGTCTGCTAAAATACTCTTAGCTTTCATTGTGAATCAGAGCTTATTTCTGGAGAGGTCAGATCTTCCTGTAGAATGCAAAGTGTTGGCTACCGGTGACGTGTTATCTTGGCCTCTTGGCCTTGGCTGTTAAGTCCATGTTTACATTTGGAGACAGGTTCTCAATTTGTAGCTATCAGAGCTGATGCAAAGGAGGTGACTATGAAGACTTGTAGAAATCAATCTCTCTGTAGACAGCACTGCCACAGGCATTTATGTAGCCATAGCTGTAGCAGGTTTTGCATATTTGCTGGTAGTAGTATCATGGGATTTGCATTCACAGCGGCTCAGGATTTACATATTTGTGATGGCTGTATTGTGGGATTTGCATAGGATTCTTAAATCACAGCAGCACAGAGGATTTTACCATCACTGTGTAGCGCTGAGACTCCTCATGTGAGTCACTGGCTTTCTAAACAGGAAAAAAATGTTACAAGAGAAATGCCAGTGCTCAGAATCTCTCACATAAGCACCAGAAAGATGAGGAGTGAAATTCTGGCCCCAGTGATGCTCCCGGGAGCCTCGACATCACGTTCAGGAAAGGCAGGATTTCACCACAGGTTCTTATCTAAAGCTTACCAGTCCTCAGTGAGCTCTCTCAGGCTTCCTCCAGTCTCTCCTTAACTGCCACCTGTCTGGGACTCAAGGCATGCAGGAGAACAGGTGGGAGAAATTCCTTATCCGAATGGATTGATACCTGAAACCGAGACTCGATTTGTCCAGGGATGGTAGTCCTTCAGTCTGAGTCACCCATCCTTGTGTGGGAGTTAGGCGGCTGTCTTCCTGAAGAAACATGTTTCATTCTGCAGGGAGAAGTCACCCTTGCTGCCATCTCATCTTCTCTGGAAGTGTCGAATACTGAAATGAGCTCGCTTTGAAATGGGTGCCCAGCACTGTTATAGCCTGTTTTGCCATTGTTGTCTAGGGAGGAAACGTTTTGTCCCACATCAGAGACATCAGGCAGAGGATGCAGCTGCCTCGTGTTTTAGGACCCTAGAAATAAATGCAAAATTGCAGCACGCAATGTAACTTGTGCTGGGCACTGCCCAGATTAATCACCAGAGCACCTTGGCAACGCCTAGCACTGCCTGAGCTCTGCTTTCAGCTTGCAGACCGCTCCTGAGGAGGAGCTGCAGCTAGAAATGGTCTGGTTTTCTCTTTCTGTCCATAGCATACACTGGAGAAAAATCTGTTTGTTAGTCCACTTAGCTTGGTACCTGCTCCATATCTCCTCTTTGCCATGTCTGTGAAGGAATCAGAAGATAGGAAATTATTTCACCCTTCCCCTGTTATCAAAGTGCTGGAGGCTGAACTGCCTCAGCAGGCACTTGTGCAATGCCCACAATTGATTAAGGAACCCGGCTATTCATTAAGAAACCTCTGCGATAACTGGCCATGAAGAAGAAGTACCTAGTGATAAAACTGACGGTGATCAAAGTGTATTGCTGTAACATGTTAAACAGGCCTTTCTATTGATTAAAGAAAATACCACTGGTTTATAATTTCTAGGATGACCCCATAGCAACAGAAGAGAGCAGGGACAGGATTGGCCCATCTTCACAATATGTGAAACACAGCGGGAAGAAGGGAGCAGAAATCGTTAGTCAAAATATAGTTTCTGGACTAGTGTGTTCTCAGGTACAGAAAAGGAGCAATTCCCCTTCCTCTGACTAGCCATACAGGGTCTAAGTGAGAGCCACAGAGGTGAGCAGGGCAGCAGTCTCAATGCAGAGACTATTCCAGGAGCCCCCGTGAGCAGGAACTGTTCTCCCCATATGAACTGATCCTTTGGCTGTAAGCATTTTGCATTTCCTAAAGGCTTTTTTTCCATTTCATAAATGAACAAAGTCAAAACCAAAGCAGATGAGTTCTATGGGATCAATTTTATTCATTTTTTTTGTTGTGCGAAATGGAGGATTGGGAAAAACATGGCTGGGTGATTAGAAAAGCAAAGAAAATGGAAGGAAGAGGAGAAGGAGGTACTTTTAGTCCAAGCTTGCAAACTCTATGTGTTCAAAATGACAAAGAGGTTGGTGTATTATCCCTGTCCTAAGGCAGTAAGGACTTTATTGTGTGAGACTACTTAAGAAATTTCATTGAATGTTGTTCTTTGCCAGTGAAGTGCTCATGTGAAATGGTACTTAGGCTTTGAGACAAATGCATACTGACGCAATTTTGTTGGTAAATCAAGTGTAGCAAAATTAGGCACCTCTGTTCCTGCTAAAATTGAAAGAAAATTGAAGGACATCTACACAGTAAATGATTACCGCCATTATAAATGTGAAGGTAAAATTTATCACTGTTGAAACTACACAAAGTAGGAGAGCTGTACAGCTGATTTTCCCTTAAATGTCTACCGTATAGTCTACCAGAGGCTCTCTCCACATGCACGTACCTGACACTCAGAGGTTATTTCTTCAGATTCATAGTTACACTAGATTTCAGGAGATGATACATGTCAGAATATAAATATTCTCACCTCCTTGGAGCTGCCCTCTGAAAACACAGATTACTAATATCTAGTCCAACAGTCACACTAGTAATTTGGTGCCCCAAACATCAAGTATTTCTTTGGAAAAAAATCTGCTTGTACTAGAAGGACAAGAATTTCAGTAGGAATTTATTTCCTTTCCTTTTGTTCTTCAGGGTAGACTTAATCTAGCTTAAATATGTTTATGATGGTATCTTTCTAAACCATATTCCCATGTCCTACAGGCTGGCCAGGATGAAGTTGGAGGCAAAGAACAAACGTAAGGAAAGGGAGCAGCTGGAAAATCTGAAGTCTCAGGTGAAAGAGATGAGAAAGGAGGCGCTGGCAATTCAGTTCAAAGAGTGGACAGTGGATGTCAGTGGCAGAATACCGGTTGCACTGGTAACTAGAGATGATCCTTGGTAACGCACTGCTATGATTGTTCCGGACAGGGGGAAAAGGAAGTTTGTGATAGTGCCATCTGCCCTGGCATGGCAGCATGGAGCACAAGGATGGGTAATGGCTCTGACATCCCTTAGGGTCAGGGTGCAAGTCGCTGTCTACCACTTAGCCTCACCAAGCCCTGATTCCCCACAAGCACATGGAAGGATTGTGATGCATTCTCCACAGAGGTCCTGGGAAGCTAAATGCCCCTTAAGGTACTCAGACACTCCTGAGGTTGTTGGATACGTACCTCATCACTGGATGTCCTTCTCTGCAGCTGGTTATCCCTCAGAATCCCCTTAAAAAGGTCCGAAGCAGCAGTCACTCTTGCTCTCCTGTGGCCTCCGTTAAATCTTCTTTCTTCCCCTGTGACTCATACAGATTGATACTGCAGCTCATAAAAGATGAGATTTGCAGTGATTGTAATACATCTCTTGGTACAAGCATCTTTCTTACAAGTCACACAAAGCCCCTAGGAGATTATCCTGTGGTTACACACAGCACAACATAGACAAGGTCTACACTTAACAGGGCCCACCTACGTACGGTAAGAAGAATTGATGGCCCATACGACTTACTATTCCACATGATTTATTTTAGTAATTGCCCACTGTCTTCTGCATGAAACAGGCCTTTGACTATTACCTTAATTTGTAGGTTCAGAGTGCCCTGAGGTCTTTTCCAGATGTCATTGCTTCTACTCCCATAGATGTGAGAAAAGGTAAGTTTTTTATGTGTCTCCTTTAGTTTTATTTCTGTGGTCTGAATTCTGATGCAAACTGTGAGCAAACAGTGAATGAACAAGTTTGATAATAGAGAAAGAATCTCTAGGGGTAGTTACACCAGCTAGGATATTAACCACAAATCTTCAGACAGATTGGAAAGAGACTGAACCACCATGTGGTTCATCAATATGATCTTGAAAAGTATGGAAAGTAGTTTAAAAAATCTTTCAAAGAGATAGAAAGATCAGATGCAGGCCCTTTCCACTTACATCCTGCATTAGCCAGACATTGCCATGTGCTTATCACAATTTCTAAGAATCACCGTAACCACCTCCTTCATCTCCTCTATCCCACGGTACTCCTTGTCTCATGGGAGGTCTTGGAAATCCCATGGATAGTTTGGCATACTGGGAGGTATGGAGGAAAGGTAGGATCGAAAAAAATGAAGTCTGACAGTGTTATTACCTTTTATGGTTTCAGGGAAAATGCTGAAGCTTACCTAACACTCCACCAAATCACACATCTTGTCCAGCCGTTCCCTTTGCCAGTCCCAGGCATGCCAGTGACGCACAACACAAGGGCCTCTGTATCAGAGCACTCAGCACAGAAAGATTTCCGTAATTCCTGTCCACTTTACATAGCTTACACTTGACATCCCCGAATAATGATAACAGGCTAGATAGAGCCAGGAACATTGAAGTGGCAATGTACAGCCTGCTGCCAGCCCTTTACATCGATAGCCTGTAATGCTCATCAATAGTAACAAATCTGCCTTTGCTGGAAGATGGGATGGTAAGCAGGGAACCTCCAGAGTGCATTTCTGCTTGCTGCTGAAGTCACCTCTGTCTAGAGCTTGCCCTTGCTTAGCCCTTTCTATATTACAGAATTGTTCCTCTGAGTAATCATCCTATATTGGTAGTACGTTGTGCGAATGCCAAACACGGCCCTTACACTCCTGCTGTGGTGGCTGTGGTTCTCCAGCGTGAACAGATACTGGGATGTGAGACTGAGAAGGAAGTTTCTGTCCAGATACTTGCTCTACAGATGCCGGAGGTGCTTTATGTCATATTTCGCTAACTGTGTGGCTCCATTTCTTAGCGTATTTCATTTAATAGCACCCAATATACATTAATGGAACATTAAGCTTTGGCTTATAGTTTAATAAAGATAATGTCCAGTTTAGGAATGTCTTAAGCAACACAAGATAAATGCATTCCATGGTGAATTTTCTCTTTATTCCTGATATATTGTAGAAGGAAGAACAGAAAAATAATTCCAACAGAAATAGCATGTCTGTGCTCAAAGACCTCACTCAGAAATCTGTGCAGACATTTGACATACCTGCTCAGTTCCATCATATCAGCCCAGAAGCTGACCAAAAGATAGTTTTGAATATCCTAATCAGTAAAAATATTCCCACAGAACTTCCTGGGAAAGTTACTGACTTTCAGATTCCACTCTTGCAAAGCAGAATCCATGTCCCCAGAATTTTAACGCTGTTTTATCCGTTTGTTAAAGCAAAAATAATTTCTTCCCTCACATAGTTGTAAGTACTGTTAAAATCATTGCAATTTGCACCAGCATATGTCAAGAATAAATATGACCATACAGTTCTGAATAGATAAGTGCAGATTCTCAGCAAAAGAAATATGTAAGAATCAGATTTAGATAGCCTCTATACAGTCAGATGCTTCAGCTATTTTGTAGGATAACCTCAAATAAATGTAATCCAACATGAGAAGAAAGTTAATGTAACATAACAGTGTGAAAAAAAATGTGTACAATATGCAAAAACCATAACTTTTTTGCTTTCTAAACCAATATCCCTTCATTTTTTACTAGCAATCTATGGCAGGAAGCTGGAAATCATCGACACGTTGGAAAAAAAAGTAAACATAGATGAATTCACAGAGGTGAGAAAAGGAATAAGAGCATCTGATTCAGAAAATGATGTTTATCACAAAGTAATAGCATTTCCCTGGGGACTGCTAAGATGAGTAAGTGAAGGGCTTCACTTGTCCAGCATCCCAGGTAACTGGTTGTTTCAGGACATTTCATGTTCCCTCTCCATATCCATCCTCTGCTGTCAAATGCTTCCATGCTGGCCAGCAAGGGGGACGTATTTGGCTTTCCTCAGAGCTGCAGCCTGTGCCGCTCTCTGAGAAGTCACTCTAGACGCAGTGGTTTTTAGGACATCCCTCGCAGTCCCTTTCTAGAATGCCAAAGCCCTGAATCACCTGTGAATTCAGATTTTGCGTTGGCTGCTCAAGGGAGTTTAATGTCCCAATATAACCGTTAGCCTGAGGTAATTAGTAGTGCCCCCAAAGTATTGTTATTTCTGATTAAGTTATATTAACCATAGAAAAACCTAACAAGTGATGAACTGGGATGGGAAGGTCTACTGTTTTTTCCCTGAACTGTTACTGGCCTGAACTATAATCAAACTGCAACAAGTGTCATAAATGCCTGAGAAGCATAACCAGGCTTAAAAATACGCAGTTTTAAAATCAAAAGCTATCATTGAGAAACATCAGAAGTGTGTTTTTAGCTCACCAAAATCAATAAATGTAGTTGGAAGTTTCACCCCATTGCTCTACTCTTCATCAATCTGAAAACAGCCAAATCAGTTCAAACTATATTTACTGAAAAACTCTCCAGGCCAAGACTTTGCCAGCCATTTCTACCTACGACAGAGCCAAATTTTATGGCTGGGTAATTAAACCTGTGAAAAGGGATGTTTAGAATAGAAATAATGACAGACCCTCAATTGCAGCAGTGCTAGTGGGTGCTGTTACAATAATTAAAAACAGAGTATAAAGCAGCTGTGCAGAGACTAATTTTAAGCAACCATGTGTGATTTTTGTGCCTTCTTTGCTCTCAGGAGACTCACATGTTTGTTTTTTTGCAGAGATGCATTTTTATGATAACTTGTTGAAGGCTTTTTTAAGCATGAAATGAGGTATTTTCAAATTTAACCTCAGAATAACTGCATTTAATTAAGAAAACTATTGTGGATAATGGGAGCCCAGAGAATTGCTTTTCTCACTGAAATGAAGCATCCATCCATAACCCCTATGGTACATGTATAAGCACTGAATGAATTCATGCCCCATTAGCATTAGAAAAATGTTTTCAAATACATTTTGTGTACTCTTTATTTTAACTCAATTAAAGATATGACAACAGAGATCAGAAGTACAAAAGATATGGACTGTCAAGCTGTGTTTTCCCAGCCAGTAGTGCAACGTTGTTCTCAGAATATATTCTCTGATGCTTTTTCCAGTCCAGTTTTAATTGAATCAAATGATGAGGCTTTCATCACTCCCCTTGGGAAAATGTTCCACAATCACAGGCCTCGCTCTCAGGACAGGGCTGTTTCTAATCCTCAGCTACAACTTACCTTTGTTCATCAGTTTGCATCATCCACCAAAACCAGAAAAAGAGATGATCTTTCTCCATGCTGGTCTAGGCCCTTTGACATATGGAAAGCATTGCTTTTTAATGGACCTTAAAATTAAATGGCATCTTTTTTTTTTTTTTTTCCCTTGAATTCAGTGCAGCTTTGGGTTACTTACAGACTGTTAGAAACTCAGTAGAGAGACCTCACACGTTGTTGCTGGGTTTGGGGTTTTTTTCCCAGACATGCAAAACAGTGACTGTTGAATTTTTACATCCTTCGTGAAGAGCTCATGGCATCATTTATATTAAAAGTGTTTAAATCCCAAAGACCAGTCCTTAATAGTTTATTTCAGAGGCTCAGTACTCTAACATGCAGAACCCCCAGCAGTATGACACAAAGCTATTCACACCAAGGGAAATACTCACATTGCCTTTGCAGGGTCAGAATCAGGCTTTAAAGGATTTTTCATGATTGCATGTGGCTTCCTCGATTTTAGGAACAAAAAGCAGAGATCCATTGTTATTAATCATAATGTGTTCGCAGACTACAGCGAGGTCTCACACTGGATAGCAAGAAGGAGGTGTGCCAGCTCTCTTCAGATGGGTGTCAAAACCTCTTGGTTAATAATAAATATATGTATGCTTATTATGTGTACAGTACTTTACACGGTAGAGTGCTTTACACACATCAACTAAGAAAAGCCTATGACTCTACGATAGTTCCTCCTGCCCACACAGCCGAACATACGCTTCTAAAAAATTTTTTGTGGAGCTGTTAGACAGCAGTATTAATACACAAGCCTTTGGATGTGTCATCAAGATGACATACAAAATAACAAGCTGCTTGTCCAACCTGCCTTCTCCCAACTGCTGTCATCTTTAAGGTTCATCTGTCACAGGGCTCCGGGTTGTAATAGCTCTGAAAAGCTAGTAGATACACGTAGCCCCAGATCTGCCACCTTCTCTCCAACCCACCTACATCCTCTCTTTTTATGCTGAAATCCAGAAAAAACATACATTTCGTTAGGAGTTCTTCTTTCCCACCAGCCACCCCTCAGGCCATTGGCTGCTGCTTTTCTGCTCTTCCTCTCTTCTCCACTTGTCCCATATATTTGGAAATTATGCAATATAGATATGAATAATAATAACAACATATATTAGTATTTCAGTTTGTTAATGCCTGTGCGGCATTTCAACATGTCCAAGATGTTCTAGCACTTATGTCAGGTATCCATACTCTAAAAACAGACTAATGGGAAACATTCTGTGTTTTGCAAATTCCTCCTTTTAACTGTATGGGCTCCCTGTTACGGTGGCTGGCTCCAGAAACCAGCTATAATAATTCAGCACAGGCTTTGGAATCGTGGTTTGTTCTGATGGCCATTATTATTTATGTCATGCACACCACATTTTTAGAACCATATTGCTTTTGCTCATAAAAACCACATGGCTATAAATCTAAAGTGTTAAAGTGTCTCCAAGGCTAGAACTTAAAATAAATCTCGAGTCAGTAGTATTCCCAGTGTCAGAGGACCTAGGTGACAGCAGGCTCATTTTCAAAAGGTTCTTTCCTTTTTTTATTGTATCCAGACTGGTTCTCTAAACACTGAAATTGTGGGCAATGGTCATTTTGTGGCAGTAGAGAGTTGAGCGACTGTCAGTTCTGCAAAAACTAACGGCTCAAAATGCCTCCTTGAGAGTGAAGTCAAGAATACTAAATGCTACAGAAAACCACAGAGAACTTACATCCTCTCTGAGATAACCTAGCTTCAGCAATGACATTTCACAGGAGGGATTCTGATCCAGCATCTCTGAACCATTGAACATGATAAGTGACCTCTGGGCCGGGAAAGGAACTGTTCAATATGCATTTGTGCAAGTGCCTGGTGCAGCAGTGTCCCAGGCTTGTGTGGAGAATATTGCTGCTTCTGAAAGAAAGAACAAAGTAGGCAGTGTAGCATCTGTGCACCAAGTTTGCATTGCATTAGCACATTAACTACAAATTCACATATATTTTAACACATGCAATAGATTTTTAAGAGTTCAAATAAAGGTGAAAATACTTGAAGAAAGCTAACCATTTACACTACTGCTTTCTCTCCATAGTATGTCTATTCCTACACTGAACATTTTTCAAATGACATGTTCCAAGAAACCCTGAAGCATCTCTCTCAGTGTGCTGCTGACTTCCAAGAAGCAATAAGACATGATATGCGGAGGCAAATGTTTACTGATGTCTTCCTAGACTGTGATTATGGAAAGGTAGGCAAAGCAGCTCTCAACCTAATTTCAATATGGTGATGCTTCCAGTTTGGTATTTCTCTGGGTCACTGCCTTCTTTTTTATTCTGCATGACTTCAGATACTCTCTTTGTGCTTACTCAGCGTTATTTTAGTGGACAATAGTTGCTGCATTGCCTTCAAATTCATAGTTCTTAGACACAGAAATAGCAAATAGCCTATAAGCTGATGGCTAATTAAAAACTGAATGACCTAATGTGATGACTCGGGGCTGGAGTTTGATGATTCTGGAGAAGAAATTAACCACAAACTTTACTACTTCTGGTCATTACCTGTTCCCACACAGAATGCTTGGATGCTAATTTGTCTCTTCAGCCATACTTCGGAAAAGATAACCTGGTATAGACTGACCTTAACAAATGTGCACATTACTACAATAGTAACATATATTGTGTTATGTTGCATTAATTTATACACCTTTAGGGCTTCTATCAATTAATCTCATAATAGTTTAAATTTAAAATGCAAAATAATCTGTCTTTACAACCTCTCTGAGAAAAGTACTGTGAACTTCAGCCACAGTTTATGGGCAGGAAATTAAAATACAATGAGTCAGTTACAGAGCTGGAACTGGAAGTCAAAAGCCATAATTTGGTTTTCAGCAGCTCTAAACTCTATCTATTGGCCTCTGAATACACCTGCATCCCCATTTAAAAAAAAAAAAAAAAAAAGCTAGACTTAGTAGAGAACCAGTAAACAGTAGGAGCTGAAGAATCAGTGGCATAAGCTATTGCTAAAAACTTGGGTTTCATCCAAAAACTATGGTACTTACTATGAGTAGCCGCCGTTAGCCAGCTGCTGGCTACTACACAGCAAACAGTTGCCATAATCTTACAGTTTTCTCCCCTAAATAAATTATATATTCCATCCAGCACTCCTCTAGTGATGTTTACAGCATACTTACCCAGAATGAACTGTGCTCTACAATGTCATGCTAATAATGTCATTACCGCTAAGAGAATGGAATTACAGAGCACGTTTCAACACCAATGGTATGTTTTAGAGAATAGCAGGCAAGCTGCTGGTTCAGGGATGAGGAAAGAAATGTGTCTACTTCCCAGTCAGGAGACATTTCATTTTCCTCTTGCTCTGTCAGGAAGAGCTATGATGGATCCTCCTGGGTAGAGTGATATATAAAGCCGAGTCCTATCTTTGCTATGCATTTTGAAAGGATCCCTTCTTTCCCTTTCATGTTTTAGTATTACTTTCTTCCTATTATTTCTATGGCAGTAATCACCATCTCCATGCTACTAATCCCAGTGGAATCTCAGAGGCAAAGAACCAAAAATGCTAGCACAACATAAGAAGAGTGAGCAGCTATCAGCACAGATGCCATCGCTGCCCAGAAAAAAGTTATCAGAGCACAAACATTGTTGCTGTTTCTAGCCTCCCCGTAGCCTTGCTCTGCAAACTGAGTTCACTAAACTGTAGTGTGGGCCATGCAGTTCTTTTAAACCTGACCTGGTTTCTTTTGTATAGCTCTAATAAGTCCTGCCATACCGTACCCACAGGGAAGATAAAAGATGCAAACTAACCCAAGGACTTCTACCACTTGAACGTGGTCCATTACCTGTAGTACTCATTCTGCAAAGCACAGCAAAGCAGTTGTTTCAGTTCCTAATTTACATTTGTTTGGTAGCAGGCAGTTATTCCAGTCTGCATGGTGAGTGTGGCTGGCTGCCTCTGTGAGTTGCAATTAGGGCCGCAGAGCTGAGAAAGCAGTGTTTAAATTACAGTCAAATTAGAAGGTATCCACATGATCATTATCATGATTTCAAATGCATGCATCCAGAAGGATGGCAGCTCAGCAAGAACAGCCTGGACTATAGAGTGAAGCAGAAACTTTCCAAGACAATACCAGAACACAGTTGTATCGCTGCTCTAATGCCCAAAAAGGCAATAGCTCTGTGAATTTTAAGCTTATTGTCTCTCTGTGCTCACAAGCATCAAGTATAGTTTCTTTTATGCATTATAACAGAATCTGCATTAATTTTCAGGGGCGTTTTAAGCCGGGGATCTTTAAATGTAACTGAATTTAGTCAGAGATTAGTTTTCAAACTAATGAAGTTTGAGCTTCTGATTCCCTTTATGCAGTACAGCAGCAACAAAGTCTGCTTTCTCGTGACCCTTTCTGAGTGTCTGTTCTTCCCATCTTGCTCACTAACAAGCATAGTGTGGTGTTCAAGATACACACATCACGTTTCCAGAAAAACAATCAAGCGGTTAAACACTGACCTATCACTGATGAAATAGCAAGTCTGGTTTAGTCTGTGTTGCTAAAGGAATTACTCAGAGATCACAGAGCATTGCTGAAAACAACTGAGAATCATCACCTGCCAATATCTAGGTGACAAGAAAATTAGGTCAACATGTTTCAACTCTCTAGCCACTAAAGTTGGCATTTGTTAAAAGTGGAGACAAGTTTTGGGCGGTTGTACAAACACAGATGGTCGGCTGTTATTTATAGCGAATGCTGTACCTGTCCTGCCAACAAGACTCAGTACGAAGGGCTGATGGGCAGGAATCTTTCATCAGCCTCCCTGGTCACAGAGCAACTACAAAGAAACATGACCTTTGCTAGTAAATTTGGGAACCCAGAAAGATAGCGTAACTGGGTATAGGACCTTGGAACTGGTTTTCCTGTTGTAATGCTCTTCTCATCTATAGATAGCTTTACTGTGACACATTCCTCCCAAGGTAAGTTGTAAGGAAAAGTGTCCTGAAATAACAGAGACATCTGGTAGAATGGCAAATCTACATAAATCGTAAACGTTAAAACAAGGTGGAAAATATACCCCTAATTCATATTCAGTAATTTCTGAAAAGGAATTTACTATTTTTAACAATATCTAAAAATAAAATTATTTCATCTAAATCACAAAAAAACTCTTCTAGAATTGGAGTTATCTAAATCCTCCGAGTATATTACTTTAACATGACAAAAAAGTATCTGAATCCCAAAACAACATTTTAATTTTTTTTAATAATACTTCATTCATTGATTTACCTTTTTAATAAAAGAAAGCTTTGCATTAGTGCTGCCAGCTTCAAGGCAACCAGCAGATGATTGTGACAAGTAACAGCTGAGGAAATTTAAAGGGAAAATTAAGTGTGTGTAATGGAAATACTGAATGGAGAATTACACAGTGATCTGGTAACATCTTCAAAAACATGTTCTGTGTTTGTATATCTACTAAACAGATGCAGAATCCGATCTGATATATTCAGCTGAAAAGCAAACAGCATAGAGAAATGTTTGCATGGGAGCATGCAAGATATTTGTATATTAAAGTCAAGAAGATGAAGATCCTGGGAATCAGGGCCTACTCTTTTAAGTTTAGGGACAGAATTATGTGATGACATTTGTGGTTCCAAACCCACACATGGCTGAAATTCAACTGTAATTTCCAGCTTT